AATTGTAGTAACCAGTTGGAGAAGGCAATAGAAACTGTGAAGTCGGGGACGGTAAAAGGGCGGGACTGTTCCAGTGCGGTGAAGGCAAGTTCGGCATAGGGGGTGGAGGAGGACCATTGAATCTTGGGGATGGAAGAGCAGGAACAGGTGGATTAGGATTAGGCAATAAACCAGATGGAGGTGCTTGAGGATGCATTTGACCAGGAATCTGTGGCTGTGCTACTGGAGATGGATTCATCATAGAATTTTGAAGGTACCGCATGTATGCCGAAATAGGAGACTCGGCAGCTGGGTTCGGCCAATGCGAGTTTCCTCCAGGTGCCAATGGAGGTGGTGGCTGAGCAAACTGTGCAGCAGGCCTATGCATATTGTTATTAACTAGACCCTGCGGTGGAGGCACAGGAACATGGCCAGGAACAGGAGGAGCAGGCATGTTCGGTCGATTCATCGGCGTTAACGGAGGAGGTCTAATTCTCTGCAATCGCATACTTTGGGGTTTTGGAGGATTTTGTGGAGCTCTAGGAGGAGGAGGAGGAGGTTCCTGAGATGGTGAGCCTGTAAGCTGCTGCACAATATTCCGAAAATCATTCTTACTAATATTGTAAATTTGTGGCTGGGGTTGAGGCCTAGCAGCAGTGTTCCCAAAACTAGGCTGATGTATTGGACTCTTCCTAATGTTCTTCCCCATTTTATTCACTCCCAAATTCTCATTCTGCCTGTTCCTATCCATCTCCACCACAAACAAATCCACAAGAACAGCAAGAACAGTCGAATGAACAGCAGAAATTCGAAAATTCAGGCCAATCTCTGCAGAAATTTGAGGATTCTTCTTCTAAATCCAATCTCAGCAGAAATTTGAAAATTCCGGCCAGAACGAACAGCAAGAACAAAGAGCAGAAATTTGAAGATTCTTCTTCTAAATCCAATCGCAGCAGAAATTTGAAGATTCCGGCCAGAACGAACAGCAAGAACAGCCGAATGAACAGGAAGATAAATTCAACCACAAAACTGAAGAAATCGAAAACAAGAACAGAATCATACCGTCCTTTCGATCCTCCGCAGTTTAAACATCTCAGAAACCAAAAAAAAGGACGAAACAGTGTGAAGAACAGCAAACGAAGCGCTGTCACGAACTGAATTAAACAGGGCTCCAACGAACAAAGATTGTGTGTAAGGTCTTAAAAATAAGAAGAACGGGGAAGAAAAAGGAAGATTAGGCGGTGAAATTGAGGATCTGAGAGGAGGAAGAAGAGGTCCAAACCCTAAGAAGGAAGAGGAGATCAAAGGTGCGAAGAAAAACCAAAGGATCGGATCAAAAAGACGCGAAAACGAAGAGAAAAAACAAAGGAACAATTGATTTAAAAGTCAACGGGAAAATTGAAGAAATGGAATGATTTTGAATGCGGTGGTCAGAAATTTGTTCCTGAAATCAGTCGGCGATGGATGGTCGGTAAAGGAAGAAAGAGCCCCAACTTGGAAGTATTTTGGGCTTTTGAGAGAGCCTCGTCAAATTATACCACATTAATTCGAATATTCCACAACTCATCATTTGGATTATTTTTATTTTTATTTTTATTAATCAAAATTAACAAATCATACCTAAATTTTATATTCAAGAAATTAGTTAAATTTTAGAAGAGTCAAATATTAATAATAAACTAATTAGTAAATTTTAATAAATATTAAATTAAATAGATTTTTTTTTTTCTTTACCCCATTAATATGTTAGAATTATCCAATCACTAATGTCCACGATAGTCTGATATTGTCAATTTTGAGCATAGTCTGGTATTGTCAATTTTGAGCATAGTCTGGTATTGTCAATTTTGAGCATAAGCTCTGTCTGGTATTGTCCATTTTGAGCATAAGCTCTGTCTGGTATTGTCCATTTTGAGCATAAGCTCTGTCTGGTATTG